CGGAATTGTAAATACGATGTCTTTCCGAGCTTCCATGGACAGGATGTCCGCCGTGGCTTTCTCAGTCACATTATGAAGGAGTTCAGAAATAGAGGAATCGACCCATTCATTGAACATGATATCAAGAGGGGCAACACGATCGGTTCTGAGCTCACAGAAGCTATCAGAGAATCGAGAATCGCGATTGTCATGCTCTCAAGATACTATGCTTCCTCGACTTGGTATCTCGACGAGCTGGCGGAGATTATGAAGTGCAGAAAAGAGTTTGGTCAAGTAGTGATCCCCGTCTTCTATGAATTGGATCCATCTGATGTAAGAAAACAAACCGGAGAATTTGGAATTCACTTCTCGGGAACATGTAGGAATGCATCAGGTGAGAAGATTAAAATATGGAGACAAGCTTTGTCAGCAGTGGCCGATATCGCCGGAGAGAATTCACGCAATTGGTTAGTCCTTTTCATTACCACTTGCATCTTCCTTAATCTTTCTTTCTAACACATCAATGATATTCTCAAGTTTATAAAAACCTGTATTCATGACTATGTATTACGTTTTGATCCTTCCCTTTTCTTAGGGCTAATGAAGCGCTCCTGATTGAAAAAATAGCCACTGATATTTTGAACAAATTGAATAATTCGACTCCATCGAGTGATGAAGATGAAGCGGACATGTTCGAAGATATCACCAGTGATATTTCAGTTACGTCAAACGATTCTGCGTCATCAAGTGATTCCGATAATCCAGTTGGTATGGAAGCACATATGAAAAAGATGAAGGAGATGTTATGCCTGGAATCAGATGAAGTGAGGATGATAGGAATTTCGGGTCCTCGTGGGATTGGTAAGACCACCATCGCCCACTATACATATCAACAATACTCTCATCAATTCAGTGTCAGCACATTCATGGCTAATATTAACGAATGCTACGCAAGTAATTGCCACAATAAGGACGACGCGAGATTGCAGTTACAGATCCAATTGTTGTCTCAACTAAGCAATCAAAATGATGAGATTTTTCATTTGGGAGTTGCACAAGAAACGTTGAAAGAGAAGAAAGTGTTGGTCGTTGTTGATGACATTGATGGGTTAAGCCAGTTAGATGCCTTGGAGAAAGAAATTCGGTGCTTTGGTCCTGGAAGTCGGATTATCTTCATAACACACGATCAAAGACTTTTAAAGGCGTACGAGATCAACCATATATACAATGTGGATTATCCACCGCCTGATGAAGCTCTTCAGATCTTCTGTATGTATGCTTTTGGTCAAAAGTCTCCATATGATGGGTTTGCAAACCTTGCTCAGGAAGTTGCAACACTTTCCGGTAAACTCCCTTTGGGGCTACGCCTTATGGGCGCCTATCTTCAACCCATGTCCAAGCAGGAATGGACAAATGAGCTACCAAGGTTAAGGACTAGCCTTGACGGAGAAATAGAGAGCGTTTTAAAGTTTAGTTTCAAGTCTTTATGTGGTGAAGATAAAGAATCATTTCGTCAACAAATAGCATGTTCTTCCGGTGGCGATTCTAATGAGAAGGTGGAAGAGTTTTTTGCAAAGAATTTCTCGGAGGTGAGGCAAGAGCTTATCATCTCAAACCATGATCTAATGGTATGTGGGATCCAAGACATTTTCCTTCATTGCCTTGCTCTCTGCATATCCGAAATCCATTTGATAACTAACCATCTAACTCATACTTCTTTGGTCCTTCTTTAGGAAGATTTATATACAAGTGAAAGAGGTTTCGAAGAAATATGTAATGGATTTCTACGTTGGGAATACTCTCCATTGACATGTTGGCCTTCCAAGTTGAATCCAGAGTTTTTAGTCGAACTATACATGCCCAACAGTAAGCTTGAGACACTGTGGGAAGGAATTCGAGTAAGTACTTGTTATTTATTGCTTTCCCATTCATAACCATTTTATCCTTTTTAAAGTAAGTTATGTCTAAACCTGTTTTTGCATGTTGTTTACTTGTCTGTACAGTCCCTTGAAAACCTTAGGTTGATGGATTTTTCATCTTCCAACAATCTTAAACAACTTCCTGATCTCTCAACTGCCACGAGTCTCAAGAGATTGAATCTTAGATGTTGCTCAAGTCTGCTGGAAGTACCTTCTTCAATTGGAAATGCCACTAATCTCCAGAAATTGCATCTCGGAT